TGTGTCGGATATGACTAGTAGTTGAGGAGACTGATTTTTCTCGATAATAATTTTCTATACAGATTTTTGTAACAGCTGCTGTTTTCTCATCATACTAAAGGCACAACCACCATTGTATACTATCGATTCACATAGTGGTCTCATTGCTATTTAACGTCACTTGCATTTATAATGTTGAAATACGTTATTATCGCAATTCTTCTAGTTACTAGTTCAACAAGTGTTTCTGGTTCATGGAAATTACTGGGTTTAAATATCAGTCCACAATGGTTACAACCGCATGAATATGAAAGTTATGCTGATGAAATTCTTGGATTAGGTCCATCAATTGTTCGATGGAATTTTAATATTGATCCATTTAGCGGTCATGTTTTAGACCCTGTTACATGGACACCAGTTGATTTTCAATCGCGTTATGTACCATTATTAAATGCTTTTAGTGCTCGCGGTATTGAAGTATCAATTGTGTTAATTGTTGGTAGACAACAAATTGACGATGCTAAACATGGTCATTATAGTTTTGATTACCTAGGTAAAGTCTATGCAGATACGTGTGCACAAATTACACGTGATTGGTTAATTCCTAGTGGCATTCGCAATGTTGAATTGGGTAATGAATATAATGACGATGCATCATGGCCAGATCCGTATTCTAATAAAATGCAATCTGCTCAGCAATATATGAAAATGTTAAAACCTGCATATACAGCGGTTAAATCAGAATATAATAAAGACGGTGGATATTCACATGTTATGATGATGGGCTTAGCAATGTGTGATTCGAATTATTTAAATGCACTCTATCTAAATGGTTTACAATCATATACAGATAAAATTAATTTTCACCCATATGATTTTGACGATACCGTTGATAATATTGGACCTAAGGTTAATGAGATGCTAACGGTTATGAGACGATATGGTGATGGTGATAAACAAATTTGGTTAACTGAATATGGAGCACAAGCAACACCCGGCAATCAATATGAAACGGATAATCAAGCTGTATTTGTACGCACATCAATACGTACAATACATGTATGGACACCGCAAGTTCAAAGAGCATTTTGGTTTAATTTACAAGATTTTATGAATGGAGACATGCCAGTTCAATATGGACTGAAAGATTTAAATTTCAATCGTAAACCTTCATATCAAGCCTTCATTGAACAAGCTGCAGAAGGTGATTCATAATAATCCACTGGCTCATATTAATATTTTATTTTCATATATTTTTTGTGGGTGAGGGTGGGTGAAGGCGAGGATGAGAGGGACTAAAAAATAAAGACATTCAACAAAATTCAAGTTTTGAAGAATTTGCAAGAGCTACCATAACTCGTTTCGGTCTTGCTCAAAGATCTTATCAGGTAGCTATATCATATTGCACTAGAGCTATTTATTTTTTCATTTTCAAAGGATAAATCCTCCAAAAAATTCAAAAGCAAAATTTCGACTATATGCGAGTACAGGGAAAAATTGGATTTACCTGCCAAAAATTTGCTTTTTTGTTTTAAATATGTAATAAATTCTTTTTCGCAATCAAATAGAATAATATTAACTAAGAGTAACACGAATGATGAACCATATCGACCGCCATGAATTTGTCAATGTAATTTATAATTATAAATAAACCATTGATTATGAAGAAGTAAACGAACTAGCTGAATAATGGTTGAAATAGAAATACCTTGAATTTCTTTTGAAGATACATTATCATAAAGAAAACGTTCTCATATTTGAATTGTTTGTGCATGAAAAAAAAACAGTTAAGATATTGTTATCGTGTAACGTACCAAATGATGTTGTAGATCGTAGATAGCACTCTTTTTTTTCTTTCTAGAGCTTGTATGGCATTATCATCTTTCAAAATTTATCATATAATGTTATTTTATCGTAGATAGGTTCCAGAAGACGACTTCATACTCGAGATATATTAACGAACAGACTTTCACAAGATATCATAATTAGTCGTACCGATACGGGTGTGGATGTGGGTAGGAACTGGATCAAGACAACACCCACGTTCCACACTTTACAGCCAGAAATTCGTTTTAAACAAAGAAAACTGACAGTTTTTAAAAGATTTCTCCATCTAAGTGGGGTATGAATGTGACCTCAGCGGAGATCTACACCCATCCCCACCCTGCAGATCGATATGTTTCGATTTCAGAAATATTAAAGTTGCTCGTTAAAAAAGCAAATGAATAAGTAAGATCATCATCAATCGTGTCGACACCATATAATTGTGATTAGAAACAGCAGTACCATCGTTCTGTGTTTTTTTTTCTCAACAAGCTAATAGTAATTCACATGTGGCCCATTATCTTTTTAGTTTTTTTTTTCTTTTGAAAGTTGAAGACAATAAAAAATAGATTATTTTAAGTTTGACACATAATGTCAATATACGAAATACCTTAGTTAGATTTTATAGGACATGTTAAAATCAGATCGCTTCTTTTCTATAGCGTGTAAGTCATGTAGATTCGAACATGCATCTTCTGAATAAAAGTCTAACGTATTTGCAAGAAAGTTTCAAGTCCCATTGTATAGGTGGGTGTGAGCTACTCTTACCTTAGCACACTGACATTTTTCGCACTCACACTCAACTGTGTAACTACCACTATGTCTTATGATATAGCAGAGTAGAATGCCGATCTAGTGTTTGGTTCCTTCGGGTAATCATACAGATCTACATAGTGATTAAAGCCAACTGATGATTCCTTTAGTCAGGATGAAATCTGGATTTTGGCAGCTCTATCACACCCCACACTCACACCCACAAATTCAATGTAATACACTCATTTACAAACTTGAATCAAAGATTTAAGCAGATGATCGAACTCAACATCTATGATATTCATCTGACTCATAGTAACAGACCATCTTATCAAGAACTTCGACAGCTCTTCGAATATATCTTCCCCTCACAAAGACGCCACGTTCGATCACTTACAGGGTGTGGGCATCTTCTCTTAATTAGCACCCACATGTACATTTACACCTACACCTACACCCACATATAATATCCACTTCTTACTTGTCTCTGTTTAAGTGGGTCTGTGCATCAGAAGAATCCAGCCTATCCAATGATTATTTGACTTTGAATTGCAAAACTGATCAAATCAACGAAACTCTTTCGCGTAAAAATCCAGATAAGCTTTCCACTTTACGAAAAATGTTTCCTCTTGAATAATGAAAATGCATCAAAAAGATGCTTTTATCTACATCTCATATATGTTTTCCACTTAGAACGAGACTAATGTAAATGACTCGTAATATTACAAAAAATTTAAAGCGTGTTTTCATTGTTAAAAACGCAACGTTTCTTCATTAAGATGTTTAAATTTATATCGATTTTTACGTGAGATTACAAATAATGAACTAAGCTTGATTTACTTTTGCAGCTGCTACTTGTCCTAGACCTAAGTTTCATGCCTGATATATTGTTCCTTCAGAAGTTGGGATATAGTCATGCCAGCAGTACTTATGGACTTAAAAAAGCAAAATTATGCGATGAAAATGATGAAAATGCTCATTTGAATCAATGAAATTGAAATACATAGACTTTTATCTATCTTCCCCCATTTTAATGTAATTATTTTTGAGTCTTTCAGTTCCTGAGTATTGTCTATTATACAAATATATCTGTGTTCTCTCAACAAAATTCAAAATATCTGTTAAGGTGCACAGTTAGCATCCTACCATAGAGGCCATTGAAATATCAACAGGAGTTTGGCATACAACAATAAAATCAACTAGAATTAGGATTACAGAAATCAAATATTGTACATTCATCGAATAGAATATTGCACAAACATATACATGTTTTTTCGGAGAATATCCAATTGCTAAAAATTTATGAAAGGACAGTAAGTCCATTCTTTTCTCATTACTCGTTTTTCGCAGCCAGTAATGCTATTTCCTATTATTATCTTTCGTAGAATGCTCATTTCTCACTTAGCAAACTTTCTTTCCTGAAGATTGCCTTCACAATAATCAAAAAAACATATCACATCATCATATTCATATATGGCAAAAGAATTATTCGCGAAAGTTAGAGCACTATAATACTAAGCTGTCCTAGAGTAATCAAATTATGATGTAGTGAGAATTTTTCATTAGATCTGGTAAAGCAATACTTGTCTGCAGAATTCTGTTGTTGATTGAAGAGCATTTTCATTTATATCAGGATTGGGAAGTATGAAGAAAGACAACTGCATCATATAGTTCGTGAATTTTGACTAGATTCGATAATGCATCTACTGAGTTTTAAAAGAAAAGTAGCAAAAAGGAGGTGAGGGAGGAGACTTTTTGTAAAAAAGGAGGAAAAGGAGAAGCATTCACACAGCAGTATATTGCAAATGAAATCACATGTTCTTTCTCCCCATTTCATATTTTGTCTGCTACGAAACGATAATGTATGGTGTAAAGAGAAAAAAATGCAGAGCAAATAAAAAGAAATTCAAAGAGACTATGCATGCTCATTGCGCTTCAAATAAGTCAGAGAGACAATTATACACCTTTAAAACATAAATTCAGTAGATGTGGACGTGGATGTGCACCCAATTCTTCGATGAAAAATAGATCATAAGCACAAAAATAAAACGCTTATTCAATAAGATGAAAGATGTGGTCCAAGACTCTACAAAATACAAAAATATCTCTTTGATAGTTTTCAAATGAGATTTCATTACTCTTCGTTTCTCTCGTTAAATGATAAACTTGTTCGGTATGAAAAGTGTCGATCGACAACATTTGAATCAATAATATACACGATTTACAATTCGTAATTGTATTCAATAAATATGGCTACCAATATGCACACTCTCAGTATAAGTCGTGCAAAACAATATATCAATTCTGAAAAGATTTGTTTCTACGTTTTCTGAAAGAATTCTAAATGTAAAATCTATGTCTAACAACACAGACTTTTATACAAATACGCAAACAATGTATTTTGAGCAGATCGAATAAAATCATATTTTCAATATTCAATAGATTTAGCAAAAAACTGATTTTAGTTTCATCGAAGGAAGCATGGATAAAATACCATCTTTTATCACTCTAGAATATTTTACTGTTTCTATCAGTGGTTGCAAAATCTTAACGTCTTTTGTCATCAATTCGTCTGCCAACCATTCAAAACCTTCCCGAAGACCTTGATTTTGTGTAGCTACTGTTGCTTGTATGTACCATCTAGTGTGTCTACTTAATTTATCCAACGCCAGTTTATCGTGTAATTCACTAGTTAACATTGCATTAGGCAAATCTTGTTTATTAGCCATTATGAGAACTGGTTTGCTTCGAAGTTCATCTTCATGGACCATTGAATGCAGTTCTTCACGGACCTCATTTATTCGCTCTCGATCATTTGAGTCGACTACAAAAACAATAGCACTAGTATTTTGATAATAGTGCCGCCACAGAGGTCGACCTTTGTCGCGACCTCCAACATCCCAAGTTGTCATTGCGATATTTTTAAATTGAACTGTCTCAACATTGAAACCGATCGTAGGAATCGTTGTCACGGTTTCTTCCCGTTTCATGACATAGAGAGCAGTTGTTTTACCTCAATTATGGAAATTATACTCACATGAAATAATCTACTGGCAATAGAAGCGTGAAAATAGACTTACCGGCTGCGTCGAAACCCAACATAAGTATGCGAACCTCCTCTTTTCGTGAAAAGTAGAAAGTAATCTTCCTAAGTGACGAACCCATTTGCTGGTGCACTTAAGATTTTGTTTATTATGCTTCTATATTCACAGACATACATGTATATAAGTATATATGCGTGTGCCAGTTATGGCCTGTTCTTTGACAATCGATGATTCATTAGCTAGCAATGCTTATTATTTTTGCCACGTTTCACATCAATATGGTACAAATTGCACAATCTTTATGCAATGTCGTCTGTTTCTTTTTTCATTCTGCGAAACTTGTCAATGCTCTTTACATCTCAGATGACGTTTATGATTCTGTAACATGCGCCGTTGCATTAGCTGTCGATTTTTTACATTTGTTAATGGAAGATTAAGCATGCAGCCAAGTTTTCTCGAGAATGAAGTCAAATATTTTTCTTCGTCTGAAGTTAAATGGTTCTAAAAATAGTGTTATTAATATGGATGCAAGCCATCTTTCTACCCAAAATAGTGTGAGAATGAGAAGATATTCCTATGGGGCTACACATACGGACTCATAATTTCTTATATTTTCATGTTTAACTTTGATAATAGCATATTTAGATCACAATAAAAAAATTGCTAATATCCCAGAAACTATTAATTGGTGATATGAAAATATAAGGACTAATGTTTAGAATAAATATGAAATAACCATAAATATAATACCAGCTGACAGGGATTTCTATTTACTAGAATAAAAAAGTAAATGCAAGAAATAAAAATCAAATCTTATTGAATCATTTATTATTCAAATAGTTTTAACGTTTTCTTATTTAAAATAATCACGAATTGAATTACAACAACGAAATCTACGTAGTACGAAGAAATAATGGTTAGTGTAATCATGCACTATGTGTAAGCGTCAAAAAAGATGAAAATTATCGGAATTAATGTGATTGATAAACAACAATAGTCAAAAAATAATAACAATAACAAACTAAATATATCAATTAACAGAAAAATATATCTCACGAGGTCATGCTATGGACAATATTAAGTAATGGTAATAAACAAAATAAAGAAAATACAAAAAATCTATTACAGAATACTAACTCAGAATGGGGCTCTTCTTTTCATTTAGATCTCCAGACAATCAATGTAAAACTGAAGAATAGCAATGTTAACTGATTATTTATTTTTTCGCTTGGTGAAACACTTTTTAAGAAGCATACGAAAGAAACAGCTGTAATACCTGACTGGTTGAGTTGTATTACGAAACTCATGAACATATCCGTTGTTTCTTTACAACTTACACTATTCTCCTATTTCAGCCTTTATTTTTCAAGTTCTAGATCATGAATATGAAAAGAATGAAATAAAGAACTTGGAAATGTATGCAGAACCTTCTTATAAGTTTTTCATGAGAGCTCGCTTCTCACATTAGCAAGAATTGCCTTTCAAAACTTGCAAACCTTATTGAACTTCAAGTAAGAAATCATTGTCATGCACTCAGACTAAAGATTAGTTTCATTTTAAATTGAAAAATATATTCTAGTGAGTTAGATGATAATAGCCGTACAATGTTTTTGTTGCTGGTTAGAAAAAGTCCTTTGAGTTCTCTTCTGAAGAAAAGAAATGCATCTAAACTAGATGTCTCAATGAGCCGAGCTAAGCAAGACCAGGCTGCGTATGAGAGGTGAGCGCTCATGTCAGAGTTAATGAAACTGGAACACCCACACGCATATGCCCCATCCTTTGTTCAATAATCATACCATACAGGACCTTAAATAAGTGTTAAACGAGAAAAAATGATAGAATCAGGATCAGGACATAGGTTTTTGATAAATTCAGACTATGATAAGGATGAACATTGAAAAATTGATAATTAAGATGAGAAAGGCATGAAATACTGAGTTGATCATCGTCATCATGTCAATGATCTGATGCTTCATGTCGAAATACTGGATCTTGATAGCATAAAATAAAACTTGTTTTGGAATAAAATTTACCTTCATTTGTATCTACCATCACCACAATCGAAATTATTGATTCAATGCAAATTAATTATATGCTACATAAGCTATTTCATCGATTCACTTGTCATATTTGGGTTCATTCTAATAATTTGTACAACGACAAGATTCGTTCTGATGACGATCGTCTAGTCGGTATTACTTGTGGAACCGGTATATTATGTTCCTTAGATTATGGTATGGGTGTGAGTATAAAGGAAAATAAGACTCAGATCCCACACCCACACTCTACAGTCTTATATTTGTTAGTCTTTTATATTTTATATTTCACTACGTTTCTTTTTCTAAGAAGACTAAATACGTGCAAATACAAATCTACATATACTTAAAATATGACAGAGACTGTGCATATGAAATTTTTTATCTGAAATAATCACTAATATGGTAAAAGCAGTCTGCATTTGAATTGCATAAATCGACTTGGTCTATTTTTAGTAGATAAGGCAAGCTGAACGAAGAGACAAAAAGATATTTCATTCGAGTCGTTTTTCTATTTCACTAAATTGAACTGAAACATTAGTCAGGTTTGATTTAATCGATATGATACATCCTGTAACGACTAAGATTATTTGTAGACATTCTTTATCTCAAAAGATTCACGTCTCTTTTAATTCCTATCAAAAATAACAAGTGAGTTGTTTATAATAATTTAATATTTATTGTGAAAAATGACTTTATTTATGATATTCGGTTTTTAAAAATCGTTTACCACGATCAATAAATATTAAAATGCGATGCATATGTTCATCATGATTGTGACAAAATTAGATATTATTTATTCTAATTCAAGTTTTAGATGCAACATGTATTTATACTATGATCATATTGTTTAACGTATTCTCTGTGATGACTCGATGATGCTTAATAATTAGATAACAGCGAAAGAGACTTATCTGTTGAATAGTATCAGTCAGCAATGAGAGCAGTTGAAAGAATTATAAAGCTCTCACTTGACGTCGTTGTTGGAGAGAGTCGAGCCTAACTTACAGTAAAATGAGTAGAAGTAACGATGAAACGTTTTCAGTGAAGCTAGACTATGTGCTTCTGAGACAATTTCCTCTGCCTATTGTATGAATGAATTGATTTAACCGGCGTATCAACAGAAAATTCGCTTATTACACACAAAATAAAAGCGATCATAATTACCGTGATGAAAACACTAACAAAAGTACGATAGGATAAAAGAAAACAGCTCATCTTGAACTGAAACATGCAAAACCATCTAACAGCAAGTACGACAATGTGACAAGAAAGTCAATAAACGAACTGAAACCAAAATACAATGCCAGAAAAATATTGTTGAATGAAAGAAATGTTTGTTCATATAAGCAATTTTTAGAAATCTACTTATGACAATCGCACGATTAGAATGCATCAATTGACGATCGCTTATATTTAATAGATATTTTTGTAAATGAAAAGGCAATGAACTATTACATTCATCTATCAGTCGTTTGATATTCATTGTTAACATAGCCGCACGGAGCAATGTACTGATTAAACACAGGTTATTCGTAATCCAATGAAGGCTACTGACAAGAAACGAAAGTCGCACATGTACAATAACTGATCAATTAAAAGCAAAAATAATCGTTACTGAAAATCTGGGTAACTGAATAAACTCAGACACAAACCTATGTAGATGAAAACTCCTTGCTGACAAACTGATTACCAGCTGTCGAAGTTGAACCATTACTGTTGTTATTTAACAATCGGAAATTGCTGTTATGATTAGATATTGAATTATTATCACTTTGAGTTGCAAAATTGGTATACTTATTTGATGTCGAAAAATTAAATTTACTTCTGTTGTTCATCGTGAGTGATGCTATTGAATAGCATTATCCTAATTATTATCTATACGACATACGTAATGTTGTGTGGATGTGAGTGCTGGTATTGATGTTGGTGTTAGATGAAGACAAGATCAACATCCATGCCCACATCCACACCCATATTCTACACCCCACTTTACACCCACATCCAAAATCTGTTGATACAAACTCAGGTTGTTTTACCACATGGAAATCTGTCATCGGTCTAAATGCTATTCTTACGTCTCCGGTTACATTAAATCAAGTTGAGCCACTATTAGAAGATATATTATAGACTGAACTTTCAACCGAAATCTATTTTTCCAAAGTTATTGATCGACACATAGCTTATCTATTGTTTTATGTCTTAACAATATGAATGTTCATAATTTTTTTATTTGATTCAAAAAATAAAATAATGTCTATTAGTGATTTTGATCATTGTTCATATAATTATTTTCTTATTGACATTGTTGCATATGTTCTTAAATTAGCAAAAGGTGACTATGAAAAAAAATATCCTCAATGTCATCTTCAAAATCACTTCTTATTGAATATCTTAAATGTTCATTATTAAATTTATCAAGTAATATTTAGGATCGTTTGAAACCAATTGATAATGAATTAGAACATTTAAATAATTTATGTAGTTTATTAATTGTATCGATTCATTTGTATCAGACTTTATGAACATTTTTACAATCAGTATACTTGAAACCTAGGTCGACATTTAATAATATCAATTATGATAAAATTTGATTGTCACAATATCAAGGGCATAAAGAAAATTTTTTCCTTCCATTATATCACCCGCATAAAGACATTCATAGCCAATAAATGATCTTCTAAACTACGTATAGATGTTTTCTTTAACTAAAGAAACATAAGAAGAGTTTTGTCTGAAGATTATTTATCTTCATTCATCATTCACACCATTAAAGCTACAACATTCGTCTTATACGACATATTGTAGTATTGGATGCATTATTCTTCATCAAATATTCAGCCAGCAATTACAATAAATACGATTTTGTGAAAAGTATAATTGGTCGTGTAATAACCTGTTTTTTTTCTTGATTTGTTCATAAACACTCTTCTGCTTTTTTTCACACAATGAGAAATTCACTTTTTTCTACTCACATTTCTCCTTACGGATTTTTTCTTACCTTGGATATTTCTTTTTTTCCGCTGCTGCCCACATGCTTAGCAATTTAGCTTGAATATAGAAAAGAAGAATGGGATTTGAATAAAATGGATAAATATAACTCATGGATTCACATATGTTCTAATATATTAATACCATATTCATTGTATTTGATCAAATGAATCCTATATGGAATGAAAAAATGAATATAAGTGTTTCAATATACAGAACTTGACGTTGACATAAATGTTAAAACAATAGTTTTCTCACTATAGTTTTTTTTCAATTAATGAGAAAAGGAAAAATATATGCGTCGAGATGAATGTGGTGCAGCATAAAAAAGATAAAACAGAAGAAAAATATATCACTTCAGTTTGTCTCACAACAGTAGAGCCATATAGAATTGCATTGCAACATAATTATATTGACACGATTCATTTTCGTGAGGGATGATATAAGAATGAATCTTTTGTCATAGCGAAAAATTTACCCAATTGTTTCATATTTGATTTCTATTTCAAAGACATAGATACGATAAGAATTCTGCTATATACATATAATAAAATTGATGTCTCCTAAAAAAAAATATTTTTTGTTGACCTTCCTAAATGAAACTAGTATGACAAAACTTTGCCGTGACACTTCAAAGGATTCTAATCGTCTGGATGTAGGTGAAAAGCAAGTCACTACACACACTCATATACCCGAATCTTACGAAAATATATTTTTGTATGAAAAATAAAATGAAAAAGTTTCTATCATCTAAACAACTTATACAAAAAGGCTAACTACAGTACTACTCAGAGATAATTTTGTACTTCTAAAGTACGCAGAAGTATACGGAATTATTATGGACTATTGGGAAACACAGAGATGTATGATGGAGTACAAAAGTGTATGATTTCCTTCTAAGACTACTCGTTTTGAGTATCTCATGATGCTCATAAGTTATAATGACTCATGTTTATTTTTTCCATTTCTGTTCTTTTTCAGCTTTGAAAAAAAAATTATGACGAACAGAGGGAAGAATGAAATAAAAACATTTTCTCATTCTTAATCGATACAACTAAGTCATCGATGGCGGCAAAAGTTTTTTTTCCTACTGTAGTGTTTACATTCATATAAGAAATAAATGACTTCAAAACTTGTATACCTGGGGGGAATTCCAACAAACATTCCCTTTTTTTTGTGAAGTATATATGTAATGGCAATTTTTAAATATATACCATGTTTTTCTCAATCAAGTAAAAGCAATCAAAACAGAATAAACAATAATGTTACCATATACAATTCTTTGGCTCGATGCAAATTCGTCAGATCCAATGAGTAGCTTTCGTACTAAACTTGGCGATGTACAATATTTACAGATGTCAATGTTTGTATTCAATATATTCAATCTTATCTTAGTGAACTTATTTATCTAATTGTTTCGGGTTCATTTGCTAAAAAAGTCGTCCCACAAATCTATGAATCCTCAAATCTCGTACAAATCTTTCTTTTTTGTGGATCAGTTAGTGCTTATTTGGAATGGGGAATGGATTATTGTGATAAAATGATGATATTTGATCATCAAGACGATCTTTTAGAACGATTACGGAATGATTTACACACCAAATTACGAGAACAAGCGACAGTATGTTTGAAGCGTGCAGAGGAGTATAAGCAACGACATTTACAATATAAACGAACATGTGGTTAAAAAACACTCTTTTCTATAGAATTTATTTTTGTAAAGACGTTTTTTGTTTTATTAAAAACTTTATTTTTTTAAACAGAAATCTTACATATTATCGAATAACGACAGAAAGGATCTTTTTTGTCTGATCCATCTTCAACAGTTTTACCTCTTATTTTTCATATTAAAATGAGATCTCTTGAATGTGTGTGGGTGTTGATGAGAAGAAGAATTACAGCCACAGTCATAGGCACTCTCACATACCCATATCCCACAATTATTGATAAAGAAATAATTAGTTTAATAAGACTCAGCTAACTACAAGAAAATCAAAGAAAAAGCTTTATTGCTTTAGAAAAAAGAAAGAGCATTCTTCGAAAGTCATGTTTTATTTAATTTATTTTTATTCGAAACAAAGATAGCATCTTCTAAGAAATGCTACACTCAAACTGTTAATTTTGAATGACCATCATAGGCTTTTTTTTGCGGGTGTGGGTGGGTGTGGCCTATTCTTCATCGTACACCTACACTCACACCACCCAAACCCGTACCCACACCCATATATGTGAGAATAGTTTGCAAGAAAGAGACTGACATTTTTGCTTTATTCATTAAGTTTCTTATTTTCAAGCAAAATCACTTAATCTTTCTTTTCATATTATTGTTTGTTATAAAGAATCAGTTCATTGTGAGTTGCAAGTAGTAAAACAAGTTTCGTGTGTTTTTCAATTTCATTGATGTCATCATTATCATCATTATATAAGTTTAAATGTAAGATCCACAGTCGAGCTGTCAACTTTTTCAATGACTTTACTTGAAAAATGGTGCCTACAGTAAACAGTACTTCATTTTCATCTTTCATCTGACTAAATTTACTAATATTTACAAATGATCTCTGTCTTATTTTCCGTTGCATATCGATGTCAATTACAAATAAAACCGATTCATATAATGAATTTTGTGAATTAAGGCCAGAATATAATAAAGCTATTTCACTTGACAATGTTGTTGATAAAAATGTTTGAGTCATTATGTAGCGACCAATATTTCGTTTTGTTTTGTTCAACTCCTTCATACTCATGAATGTCCACAATAAACAGTTAATCTGTGTCCCTCTGAAATTGAAACAGGATCGCTATCGAAATCAGTCTGTACTTTGTATAATTGATTGTACAAATCAAGTATAAAATGTCGCATATCTAAGATTGTTTCCATATCTTCCGTACGAAGTGCACAATTTAACATTCGATAGAGAAATGTGTCTTTGGTATATTCATGTATTGCTTTATCTGAATGATAATCATTTTCAAAACAGTCTATTTTATGTAACTCAACTTTATTGCCTTCACAGTAAAGTCGACATCGATCCAACATCTTTTCAATCATTATGTCAGTTTTTGATGATAAATGACACAAAATATCCATCAAATGTAATAATATTAAATCGAAATGATCCGTGTCAGTTATAATATCTTTATGACGACATATTGTTAAATAACTATTCCAATGATCAGTATATTGATCAACAGCGGTCACTCGTTAAATTAAATCAATTCGAAATATTGTTCCTATACTTAAGAGAACTTCATGAGTATCTGGAAAAGCACTTAAATTATCTATATGTACAAATGGTTTTATTTCATCCTCTTTTAAATTGATATCAATAATAAATAGAACATTTTCATAAAGTCCAGTACTTGACTGAGCGTAACGAAGAGCAAAATCGTCATCTTCTGTGGTTGGCAAAAATGTATTGATTGATAAATAACCTCCGACACTGTTTTGAAGTTTTCTCAATGTGTCAATGTTCATAAACTGTCCATGATAAATACGAAGTGTATTATGAGAAAGAGAAGAAAATTGTTGTTTCTGCAATTGATATAATTGTTCATTGAGATTCGATATATAAAATCCAAAATCAGGCAAAGCATCAACGTCCCACTGTCGAATTGCTTTACTCAATAATCGAAATAAAAATGATTCACGTGTGTACCAATAAACTGATTTTTTGCATAGTAATCGTTGTTAAACTCCTCAAATTGCCTTTCGTCACGATATTCTTGGAAAGTGTTGGGTAAACGACAATATTCCACCAGTTATTGTTTGGCAACACTTTCAGGCGGTGGTGAATGATATAATATATTGGTAAGCATTTGAAAACATTTGAACTTGATTTGTTGGCAACACAAATTACGAGTTGTTATACCTTCGGTAATCGTTTCATTCGTCGTCGGGATTTCCATAAGCTCTTGCACATGCTGTCGTAATTTCTCTGCAAGCGTATCGATATTGCAGAATACTCCACGGATATTGGTCCTGGCATCTGTAAAAAAGCATCATCTCGAAACTGTTTCCATCATAAACAAAAGAATGTTGCTTCTATGTTTTTTTGGCCATACAGGAGAAAAAGTGTCTTTTTTTTAACTCAAAATCTTAGTTCGATGCAGCCATGCTATATTCTCGTAATGACCCATTTGATCCTGGGTACAAACAATATAGATATTGGATATTTCACATATTTCGTCATTAATTCGTTCTATTTGCGAACAAAACGAGCCAGATATTAGCGCAATAACTCGTTCATTATTCACTGAATTGATATAATCGAAACAATTGTTAAGACTGGAAAATAGTTCCAAATGACTGATAATATTTCTTCAACAAGCAATATGTCTGTGATAATCAGATCCATAATCTAAATCGTTACTAAGCCAAATAGGGGTGTGAGTGTGTGTGTGGGGGGGGGGGTATAGATGTGAAAGAATAATATAGTTACACCCACACCCACACCCCACCATAAAAATTGTGGAAAGCTAAAATGATATTAAAAAATTGCATTTGAAATACATATTTAATCTATCACGATGGAATTAATTGTGAACAGAATTCTCACAGAGAATGACTTTTATAGTCTCTGTGCAACTAAGTTATTGTGCTGGAGTGTGACCAATTATAAAAAAGACGGGGCCACTTATAAGTGGTTGATATCAATTACGATAAATCTTACGATGAGCCTACTGAGCCGCAGTTACGCGTAAATGCAACGCAGTCGACAAAAAATAGGCGATAGGTGTGCACACATGTGATGACGATGTTGTCAAGAACTGTTTTTTTTTCGTTCGTTCTTTCATGTATATTTTCAATTATTCATAACCATCTTTCACAATTATGGTGTCAGTAGGTTTTTTCCTGTAAGAAATAAAAATCATTAGATTTATTTTCGCATTGAAAGACAGCTCGACTTTTTTTGCGTTCATTCGAATATCTGTCGAAAAAAAACGAAATATGCATGCAAGCAAACTCGCTAGCGAAGGAATTCGTTGTCTCGGCAGTCTTCAACTGCATGAACTGTGCCAACTTCAGGAAGAACTTGACACACTATGGCACAATGGAAAGGCGATAGTATCAAACAATCTATACGATAAAGTGGTCGATGGAATTAATTCCGAAATCGCACAATTAACCAGTGATCCCTACAATTTTGTTATGATGAAAACCGATTCGGAAGTGAAAGGTCTTGTTGACTATTTTACTCAACGTCAAGCACAAGGACAATCTCGCATTGGCAATTCTAGTTTGGGTATTCTACAGAAAGAATTAGCACTCCGAAACGATACAATTGTTGATCCAACCATTCAATTTCCTTCCCATTGGACTAATATGTACCCAACTGACTCATCAGTACAACTGATTCCACTCACTCGGTCATCTCAAGAATTTCAAGAGATATCTGATTATTTTATTAAATCACTTGGACATCCATCCACAGTGATCTATTCGATTATTCGAATTCAAAATATTCGATTGTGGAATATTTATCAACAAGTACAACGAACAATTCAATGTACTAGTACACGTCTTATTCATGGTACTGCTTCGTTATCACAACAAAAATTGATTACTTTTCATGGTTTCTATTGGAGTTATTGTCCGAATGGTCTCATCGGTGATGGGATCTATTTTGCTTTAAATGCAAGTTATTCGAATAATGATCCATATGTGATGAAAAAGACCCCTCATCGACGTGAACTTTTTATTTGTCAAGTATTACTTGGACAAACGACACTAGGTAAAAATGGTCTTCAATCACCGCCACAAGGCTTTCATGCAGTACACTTTTCCAATACACACCAGATCGATGAATTTTGCATTTTCAATCATTATCAAGCATATCCTGAATACATAGTTCAATACGATTATGAATAGATGATTTTTTTCTAAATCTTATCATACTCAAATGATTGTTATTTGTGGGTGTGGGTGCGGGTGTGTGTATATGCATATGTATCTAGATGTTCCAATCATTCGCACTCACACCCACTCCCATACCCAGTACAAAGCATATTCGATTACATTCTATTTACTGTATGGCTGATTCTTAAAATAAAAGAAAATGAAAACAATCTTNGGACAAAATCTAACTACTGATAATTTAGTTGAATCTTTTAAATATGTTCATGAACCACAAGTTCGAGCCGCTGCTGAACGTATACGTGATGCAATATTAAAAGAAAATGGATGTGATGAAGCACTACGTGCATTTCAAACTCATTTACCTTTATTACGAATGCAAAGTTATCTTGAATCAACTTATACTGCATGTTATCAATTAGAAGAATTTCATTTACAAATATCACGACGTGTTGCTCAAGTACTTGTTGTATCCGGTCGTATTGAACCAACACAATTACATCTTCATTCGACTCGTTATTGACCTTCAATATTTGATAATCGTATTCATCTACCATTTCATGGTATTTTAAAACATACTCAAAAAGCTACTGTACAGATATTTCTTGATACAACTACTGGCTTTAAACAAGCTATGCATTCTGATACATGAACAAAGAGTACATATAATGTTATCGAAGGTGTTCTTCGTGGCTTGAATAAAGGTATTGGTCATTTATGTATAGGTCTTTTATCTTTATATGGAGAATTGACCGATGTATTGGATGCTGCTCCATCATATTATGATCCTTACAAGTAAGTTTATTCATTTCATATGATAGATAAATCTTATCGATTTAATTCGATGTAAATATCAGAAATGATAATAAAAAAGAATATTTCATTTTTCAGTGAATCTTTTTATCGTTCACGACCATATGTGATTGATTTCGATACAGGTATTAATGCAGCTATTCTCGCTCTTATTGACGGTTGGAAAGGTGGTATTACAGATATTGTCAATACACCACGTATTGGTTATAAACGTCATGGAGAATTAGGTCGTGTAGCTGGATTATTAGTAGGCATCACGAATGGTTTATTCAAACCTGTTGGAACTCTATCATCGTTGACTTGGTTTTGTCGTGGTATTTATGCGAATATAAAGAACGAAACATTAATCGATAAAGGACTCGAAACATATTCTGTTAATACACTTGGTCTTGGTTCATTATTATCAACTATTTCTAATGACAATGCAAAACAACTTTACAATAATGATATTAAACAAGCTGCTAAACTGCATCGACTGTAACAGGTTTTTCAACTGATATATGTCTACAAATTATAACTGAATTTGATAATATTAAAAATGAAAATGTTGATTATCGTTCATATAAACATAAGTCACGATAATTAGGTCATTACTTCGAATTTTGTACGTCGACTTTTATACTCACAACTACAGCTTATTTTTTCATATTATTTATTTTGTTTTCACAAATTTTTTATTTTGTTAATTAAAACAAATCAGATATTCATATCCGATTTTTGTATAAAGTAAACACGCAAGAACAACAACAAAAAAAACTACTTATTGATTTACAAACAATGTATTTTTCTATACATATGCTTTCGATGGATATATATATATACGCATTCATATTAGACATAATAAATTTGATGAATTATTATATTCTAATATAAAAATCTTTTTTTGTTTGTTGTATCTTATTAAGTCTTTCTTTACCTAATTCCGACCAATTACAATCATCAATCCATAGTTTTTTTAATGATTGATTATGTTGAATCATTTTAATAAGATAATCAATACTTAAATCAGTCAATAATTTATTACAGGAAAGAACTAACATTTCAAGTGTATGATTTTGATTTTCAATTGTTTGTGCTAATATTCGAATTCCTTCATCACTGATATCATTTTGTCCAAGATATAACCAAATTAATGTTTTATTAACTTTAAGCATTTGAGCGAGATATCTTGCACCTCTATCAGTTATTCTATTTTTTTGAAGAACAAGTGTTTTGAGAGTATAATTATTATCTGAAAGTATATTAGCAAGAAAATAAACACCATCATCAGAAATATAATTATTCCCAAGATACAATGTTTCTAATGCATTATTATTATTATTATTTAACGCATCAGTTAAAATTGATATACCAATTGATGTGAATTTATTGAATTGTAAAGAAATAAAATTACATTGTTTTATTATAATAGCTTGTTTGATTATGATCTCCATATCTTGATCAACTAAATTCATATTATCTAAACATATCGAGGAATGAATGTAAGATTGTGCAATTTTTTGTTCAAGTTTGGTATTTTGATATTGTGAAAATTCTGAAACACAGAAAAAAAAAACACCTAAATATAAAATTTTCTTATGTCTTCTATAGAAGCTTTTGTAAATACGATGACAAACGATGTCGTATATACGTCATATATCGCTGAATATGATACGACGAGATACGATTGTAGTCTACATTGTACAGGATCGTCTACGATTCTTGTAATGCTTATCCTAGGTATGATTTTTAATCGATTCTTACCGTTGATAAGTTGTTGTCGCATATCTGTTATTGCAACAGAAACATATTGTTGTTTGGATATTGATAAATGTGTTAAAGTCTCATTAGTATACAACAATTGTAATGCTGAAATATCATCTTCGTTCAATTGACAATTGTAAAATTCAACATAAGTTAATGAACGACGTTCTTTAGAAGCATGAACAAGTGCTTCTATGAATTGATGCGAAATAATAGATTCTGATATGCGTAGATGAGAAATAAATGAATCATTTAATAATGAAGTAATAAGACAAGTTTCATTTTTGTTTGATGGTTGAATATCGAAAACATGAAGACGAACATTTTTTATTGATTTATGTTTTCGTAATACATCTAGAAGTTCAATAGTAGCAGATTTATCATCAATACAAGTCTGATCCATAATATCAAGATCGACAAGAGTTTCATTTTGTCCTATTGTTTGACAAAGACCATATAAAGTTGATGATGTATTGAAACAATAACTTAATTTTATTCGATATGGTGAACAATTTGAAGTAATAATTTCATTTAAGAATTCAATATTCATAAAATAATTTATAACTAATGTTGTTAATTCTTTATTCGCTTTAAGGCAACGTAATAGATCTTGATCATGTATTGAAAGATCATAACCAAAGAAATTCAATGTTCGACATATTTTATTTTGTTGTAATAGTTGAACGAGCATTTTTGTATCTTCACTTTGATGATAATTACAAAATTGTATTTTTAATGATTGATTTTTGAAATAAACAATCATATTATTACAAACATACGTAGACATTTTCATCCATTTACGAACTTCAACAGTCATAATTATTAGCCGTTGAATAGAAGAACGATTGATGATAACATCAAATAATTTGTCAAGATCTTTTGTGTTAAATGAACAATTTTGAAGAACAAGAGTTAATATTGTAAAACCTTTTGTTAAAGCATCACAAAACATTGTAATATTTTTCGTTGTTAAAGTTCCTGTTAGAATTACTTCTTTCGTTTCTTGATTGTATTTTCCTCCGAAAGCTTCCAATTGACGAATATATTCCGACATTTTATTATGAAAACTCATTGCATGATAATGTTCTAAACATACCCAACGAACATGACCATCATTAGTAATTGTTCGATATAGATTTCCTAAACTATGTTTATTATCAACAAGTTCTAAAAAAGCTTCAAGTTCTCGAAGTTGTGCACCTTGAAGTGAAGCTTCTGGTAGTATCGCTTTTCGAATCATAGATGAATCTACACGTGAAAGTTCATCATTAGTTTGATTAAGCATTTTTTCGACTAAATCTAATTTATTGTTGACCTCATTATAGTTATTTGGCTCTTTAATAAATGTTGGTAAAGCATTGGCTACAACAGTTGATACATTCTCTGATTGAGGAATAACAAAACCACCTATAGAAAATAAATTTCGAGCAATAGTTAATGTTGTTCGTAAATAAGATCCATAATTAGCAATAAATTCACTTGGTTTCTTAATTGAATAACCATCATGAGGAGCAATATGCAATTTATCAGGTTCATCCGAGCATTCACATAAGAAATATAGTTTATAATGAAGAAGAAATAAATTTTGTACAGTATTAATCGAAGCCCAATTGTGATGTTTTGCTGGTAAAATAAAAAAATACCGAGGAGTTGTATATTCATGTAATTCATACATTTGCGTCATTACATGTTTTATTCGAACAAGAGTTTCTTGCGTATTGGCAAGAATTATATCAGTTTTTTTGGTCATCTCTTGCATTTTTGTATCAATACGATCAAAGAATATATGCATTTCATCATTCGATTTTCCTATAGGTTCTACAGCTTCAACAATCTGATCTTTAATTGCTTCAATACGTAATGGAATAAGTTGATCACCATTATTATCACGAAGAAAACCTAATTGAACATTATCAATACATAGTACGGTTGTAGATGGAAAACGTCGTTGAACATCATCCAAACATAAACATTCAATACCATTAAAACAACTGTTTGAATTTGTACAATAGTATCATGAAAACGAACGGATTGACTTTTTGTTTTAGGAGTAATTCGTTCCATAATAAATCAATACAATGATAATAGTTACTGAATTTTAATAATTACACGTGCAAAGAAATAAAACAAAACGACTTATTTATCTCAAGATATTTACTAGAAAAGAAAAACGCTTCAATATCACATATACTATGGTCGTTGGCAACATACAAAAAAAAAACAACGTGGTGGATTTTTTCGTTTCTGTTTCGTCCTTTTTTCCCTGTTGTCAATAACAAAACAACCATTACGACAACGAACACGGCTTTGTTACACAATTACATTCGAATAGTACAAGCCCAGGCGAGCAAAAAATGACAGAGGGCGCCCAACATGACTAATCTCGAATGTCTGCACTACCGTCTAGTCTAGTCTGAGATGACCTACGATTCGTCAGGACTGGTAATCTTGACGGAGTATGTCGTGTAACTAAATATAGACTGGTCTGGACTGTGTCCATCACCTGTCATGACTAGTCCATTTTGTCCAATCCTTACTGTCCAGACTCGTCAGTAAAACAGAAAGCCCAGAAAGATAGATGACGACAGGTAGATTCGAATATTGAACTCCATAATATTGAATGTCTGATTAGTCTGAACTATTTTCAAAAGTGATATGGTTTAGTGTGAAAAGTCATTTTTATCGTCCATGACGAGTTCGTTTTGTAAAGTTAGTGCTACCCTTGGTCCAGAATAGTCGAAGTCTTTTAAACAGTTCATCTTACTTTTCAGACAACTTTTTTAGACTGGTTCATAGTGAAACTAGAAAATTGTGTAATATTGTGCAGGAATTTTGTTAAGGATTTGAGTTATTTCTTATAATATCTAATTCAGAATTAAATGCCTTTATAATATAAAAAGCATGTAGTAAAATATTAAACATCTTGTTTTCAGTTTTTCGTTTTCAATACAACGAGCTTCTCAAAACGAATAGTTACGACAAAAGTTGATTGAATATTTGATAATATGTAAGTTATCAATTTTTACCAATCAATAGAAAAAATAAGCATTGAGTAACTTTATGGGATAAAAATATTATACTTAAGTATCAATTCTAGCAGTCGAAATTTACAAATGAATTTATATTATAACCTTTTAGTTGATTATCAAATTGAAACTGAAAGGATTTAAATTAAAGTAATTATAAGTCATCGAATGAAAGAAATCTTTTTTTTTACTTAGATTAGTTTTATTTTTTTCTCACTTATAATTGTTTTTCCAATACAAAATAATTATTCGTAAATTTTGATAATAAAAAAATCTATTGGAAAAAATAACAAATTCTGAATTAATTTTATTCCGACTTATTTAAATATTAAATAATAATGGATTTTATGATAAATATTTTTTTATTCATATCAAAAGTTGAAAAATTTGAGCAATTGTTAAATACTGTCTTAGAATGATATTGACATATTAGATTTGATCACTTGATCAGATACGGTTCAATGAATTAACCATTTCAATCCCGTCATTTTCTTGCGTTCTGCACGAACATGAAAAAAGATAGTTTAATCTCTCGCTCTTGCGTTCAGCTATCACAATCATATATTTTTGAATTCGAGATTCATTATTCATATCCATACGAAGTGATTTTCATTTGAACATATCTCATATGATTGATATTCGTCGACTAAGAAGACGAAAGAACGTAACATATCTCTTTTTCGTTCTGCATGTCATCTCGTAGATGACATGCGGGATTGAAAGTATTAAACGATGGGTAAGTTATAAATTGTATGCATGTTTGAATCTAACCATCTGTTGATATCTCTGTTATTTAGACTGATCTGGACTAGACCACTACATAAAACTGCAATCTGTTATATGCAGCATCGAGGACGCTCTTCTTTTTTCGATTTGAAATCTATTTTGGACTGGTGTCCGGACGGCACAACATGTCTAGTCTTTTTTCGAAAAATGACTTAACGTAACAGATATAATGACGTCAGCCACTTATGTAGTCAAGGAGGGGGTAAAGATTCCCAATGATTTCGGACTAGTCATATGGAAGACGTTTATGAGAAAAAGACTAGACACGACGTGTAGTCATGACTAGAAAAATGACTCGTCTTTTTACCCGTCCTTTGCTCGCCTGAGAGGAAACTTCTTTTTACAAATGAAAAAAGATGAATACATGAAGGTTTTGAAAAGTCTTATCTTGATAATCATCTTTCTGCATTGACTCTTGCCTCTCGAAACTTCAAAAGAATCTCTTGGTGGTTCATGCATGACGCGCTGATTCCACAGAATGAATGAGTCATTGCGGACAATATTCTGATAAGGATCAGCATCCATGTTCAGGATATCTTGTTCATCATAGATTCATGTTCGAGTCAAGATTGATCCTACGTGAGAAGAGATTATTAAAATATACTGTTGAGTTTGCAAGCTTATTTACAAGAGACTCTATCACATTCCAAATATTGGAGATTGGAATAAATATATTTATAAAGACCACGAAATCAAATTATTCGAAAAATACGTGTACTTCTTGAACGGTTGAATATTTATTAACAGCGGCCTCCATTAGAGAATTAGAAGAAATTCAATAAGTTAAAAAATGTCAAGATTACATGAACAAATAATGATTTATGTAGTAAAGAAGAGAATTCATGATTTATTTCATATTGTGTAATGTGAAGAACGAAAAAAAAAAAGGTGTCACTCGTTTTTTTCTTTTGATAAAATTACGTATCTATCAAGGCAGTTGTTCTATATGAATATATGGACGAACATTGCTTCAAGTACTGTCAACAATGATACGAACGTAGAATTTCATTCTGTTGTCTTTATTCGAACTTGTCGAATTCTCCGCTAAACGACTTTTAATTTTATTCTTTTTTCTCATTTACTGATAGGAATAAAAGTCTGTCACAGAAAAAAGACCCGACTGATATTGCAACTCTTTCATGACGTTTTTTCTTTTCTAAAAAAAACAAACTTAATGAGTAACTTTGCTCGTGCAAAAAAACATCTCGAATCCCTTTTATTCCAATGTTGACTTTGAACGAAAAAAAAAAGTCAAATAGAAATTGTTTCTTATTTGACGCTTCTGTTGAAACACTTTCTCTCTCTTTTTTTTTTTTTTTTTTATTCTTGACGAAATTTTTACTTTAATAGAAGAATACATTGAGAAAGGTGATGAAAGTAACATTTGGGTGTCATTGACTGTTTCTTTTCTTTTTCTTTTTTTTTACTACGATAGAAGCATGTGCAACAAGAAACAAGTAAGTAAACATGTCAGTCAATTTTAATCAAGTCTTATCAATGAATATATGAAATTGATGTATGAAGACATTATTTTATTTTCTTTAAACAATCAATATTATTTATTTATTTTTCTATGTTTATTTTCGATTGATTATATTCAAATGAATTGAATGTATGTTTTTTTAGATTAATCAGCCACTTTGACCAGCGTCAAAAAAAATGAAAATGAAAAAGTATCATGATCGAGCAATAATTCGTATGATGGACCGTTATTCACAACTCTTCATCGATCTGTTTTAATCAACCTCCATTGTATTTGTAAACATTATTTTGTTGGAAGAGCGCTTGGACAACATCTATAGTACAAAGACTTCTTTTGTGGTTTAATTCAATAAGTGAAGTCGACAATTTGTTTTTTTGCCTAATATTTTTTTTTGATTCCTCTTCAAACGTGAATAAATAGACTTCTGACATTATTAGCAGTGATGCTTACGAATTTTCGTCTGATTTGAACTCCTAAACGAAAAGACAGATACACAGAGATCATCAAGGAAATTTTTTAATATGAGTCTGCAAGTCGCTTCAATGATATTATAACCATTTGACCAATTATTTATATTCTTCTATTAACAAATTCTATACATTTTTCAACAGAGATCAACAACAAATCGAATACAAACTAGTGGCGCGGCCAATGCTGTGTTAGGCCGGACGCCGTCCGGTCACTGATCGCCTTCGTGCTACTTTCAAAAGAAAGAGAAACGTAATAATTATCAACATTGACACTATATTTCATGGATTTCTTCCCAGATCATAGGGTACTGTTCTACTACCCATAATCTCCTGGTTATGCCACTAACCCAAACTGATATTAGGAAAAGACAAACAGAACTAAACTCGATGCTTGTTTCTCAAACAATCATGGTAATGATCTTATGAGTGTGCGTGGAGGCTTTTCGGTACATGTACACATCCTCAGAATTGTGAGATTCTGTCCGGCTTAGTTTTTCACTAAGATGAATCGATTAAAGAATTTTAAATGGTTTCATACAACATTGTTCTATAACTTTGATTATTAATTATGAAAGGAATAATTTATTCATTCATTTATTTTGATTCTTAGTAGATAATATGATAGATCAATTCTATAAAAACAAATTTATTCTTCATTTTGTATGATTATAAATAAATAGGTACGAATTGTGTCAGAACGAAGCAATTGATCTAATATCCGATGGATGAATATTTGCATCACGTAAGAGTTTAACAAATGTCGAATTTGGATTAGCAGCTAAATGTATTGGTTCATCATATTCTTGTAAATAACCATTTGATAAGACAAGAATTCTAAATAAATGAAAAACAATATTTATTTATGTATTTATTTATATCAAAGAAGAAATAATACGAACTTAGTACTATCTAAAATTGTATGTAAACGATGAGCAATAGTCAATACAGTTGCATTTTTAAATCTTGAACGAATAGTTTGTTGAATGAGTCGATCTGTTTCCATATCAATAGCTATTAAGGAAACGTGATAAACTAAAAACCAAGAAAAATTTTTCAAATAAACATACCAGCAGTTGCTTCATCAAATATAAATATTTGACTTTTTCTTAAGAGAGCACGTGCCAAACATAGTAATTGTCTCTCACCAGCACTAAGATGAAAAAATGTAAATATTATCAAGTATATATATATAATATAAACCAGTAAAATAATTTAATTCACCTCATATTTTGACCTCCTTCTGCTAAAAGATGTAACAAACCATTTTCCATCATATGAAAACGTTCTTTTAAATGTACTAATTCTAATACAGTCCATATTTCTACATCACTATAACTACTAAATGGATCAATATTAAATCGAACAGTACCAGCAAATATGATGGCATCCTAAATAAGATAAAAAAGCTTATTAGCGCAGCTCCTGCGGAGCTGAAATGTGGAACTCACGTATACCTTTAGCTTTGTTACCTGACGCATCATCTGTATACTGGAAGACTTCTCGTCAACTATAGTTGTTTTCCTTGAGAATCGATGGAAAGAGCGGGAATTTATTATTTATTTGTATATTAAAAAAATATATTAAAAAAGAAAATATTATTTTTTCATTTAAGCGCGCTCGATTTCATTTATAATTATTGCTATATACTCGATAATAATCTTTTTTTTTTGTTTTCTAATTTGAAGTTATTTTTCTCCACCATCGACTATTTGATGAATACGGTTGCTGCAGTCTGTAATGGGGAGGGGGGGTATGTGTATGTAATGTTCTTTTTTGGCTGCTATTGTCTGTAAGGGGGGGGGGGGATGTGGGGGTGCGAGCCGCAAAACCTCGAACTTACAACTTACACTCACTATTTTCTTCGAAAATATACGTGAGTTTCACAAAATTTTTCTGTAATGGATTTAAAATTATAAAAAAAAAGATTTACTTGTGGAATAATAGTGATCTTTGATCGTAAATCATGTAAACCAATAAGACGAATATCAACATTATCAATAATAATTGTACCATTTGTTGGTTCAATAATACGCAAAAGAGATAAACATAAACTACTCTTTCCACTACCCGTACGACCGATAATTCCAATCTAAATTTAGTTCAAATACATTTGATTTCGACTATATATATATATCTATCTCAGCATTCAATCTAAGATTCATCTTGCACGATTTTATTTTCAACAATATACAATAGTTCTTTCCATCTGATATTTGTTTTTTTTTGATCGTTTATATCAGTTCAAAGAAACATAGATTCTCGTTCAAAAAAAATGACTTTATCAGGGAACTAAGAATGGTTCCTATTCAGAACTTAATCGAAGATGATAACAGATAATAGTTTGCTTTCGAATTGACGTTGAACACATTAATCAATATATTTGAAAAATTGAGGGATGGATAAAATAATTATGCAATCGATATTGCAAAATTTTTTCCTTTTTGGTTTATTTTCAAAACATAACTGATACTCCCTAGGATAGGATTTAACTTCATTGAAATTTTTCTACTCTCGTTTTTATTCAATACATTCTGTTTGGCTATGAATCAACATCTTCATATAGAATGCAATATACTTTGTCTCTAATTCAAGATTGAACGTTAACATATATTTTACCTTTTCTCCTGATTGAATATTAATAGAGAAATCTTTGACTACCAATTGTAAATTTTCTCGATATCGTATTGATAAATCCCGAATTCTAGAAAATAGAAATTTAAAAAAAAAACAAAAATTTATACTATAGATCCAATTTACTGAATATTTCCATTCGTTGGCCAATGAGGTGATGGTTTCGTTCGTGGAATTTCCCATGGAGCTTCAGGTGTCAATTGAGCATATTCATTAATACGTTCAACACTAATAATATTTGTTTCAATATCACTTGACATACGAACAAGTATATTGAGAGAATGTGTAATTTGTAAAGCATAGGTTATCATTAAACCAACAGTACCAGCTGTTAAATGATCACGCATAAAAACAGCAGTTATGGCTGTAAATAATGTAAGTAAATTAGCAATAATTTCTAAACGAACACCAAGCCATCTAATAATCGAAAATAAATATTTGAATTTATAATTATTAAGTCAAACCTATTAGAAACAGAACTAGCTAAATGACATGATTGATTTCTATCCATGAATTTATCAGATAAATCAATAAAACGTTGTTGAACATGATAAGCACGAATTGAACTAAGACCTTGAATTGTTTCGCTAAAATTTGCAAAAATTAAACTACGTGTAACTGAATCAAGACGACGAAGTTGTCGAGATGAAGATATATAAACACGCTTATAAATATACACAAAGAATTTATAAATATTTAATAAGAAAAATTCTACCTGAATATATATAAAAAGAATAGCAAGTGGTATGAGTTCAATTAAAGCAACCCATGAACCATAGACAAGTATTATTAATGTAGCAACAACTATAATTAGTGATGTTAATGATTGAGAAAAAGCATTTGGTAATGCTGAATCAATTGAATCAATATCTTTAGAAAAACGATTAATAATACGACCAATTGGTGTTGTATCAAAGAAAGACATTGGTGCATGAAGAATTCCAATTAGAATAATCCAATGTAATTTTCGACCAGCAATATATGAAGCTAGTTTATGAATCAATTGCATGGCAAATGCAAGAAAGCCTGAAAAAAAAAATACGAAAAAAAAAATATCATTGAAATATATTTTAAATACCTTGAATGATTCCTAATGTTGAATAAATATTCATATAATAAATTTGATTATTTCTTGATGATATATTATTTGCTATCGTTGTCACTTTTACTTCATCTGTCCACTTAGATAACCAAATATTAGCGCTTAGAGTAGCAAATATTGTTAAACAAAAAAATATACTTATTAATACAATCATTAATAATTTACATGAACGAATATAAATTAAAAATACATTTAATTTTACCTATTATTATTATTTAATCATAATGTTTTAGAAAAAGAGATTATATTAAAGAATAAGAAAAAAGACTTACTGAACCTGTCTGTATAGTCTCTTTTTGAATGGTCTTTTTCTTTTCTTCTTCTATTTCGATTATAGTTGGATGTAGTTCATCATGTTGAATATCATTTTCAGTAAATTCAAATGATTTATGAAGCAATTCTGATGGAGTTGTTGGAATACTTTTTGGACTTTCTAAAATCATAAATGAATCTTAATTTTTTTTTTAAATTTTAAAAATTCATATAATTAGTTAAAGGCAATCTAAGAACGATTAAAATTTCATAGATTATTGTGAAATAAGATTTAAAAGGGGTTCAGCTACCTAGCATCAGATTCAATAGTCCGGCATCTTCCCCACAAATATGACTAGTTGTGATTCTGGATAGAAGACCAGTCATATGTCATGCGGGTGATCACAAACACATAGTCGTTTAGTGATTTGTTCAGGATCATTTCATGGCTGGTAATACTGAAGTTTGCACTCAGTACCTTGTAGATACATATCGAAACAGTATAGTTACTCAGTCATGTCCCTTCCGAAAGACTGCAGGACTATCATTATGTTTAATAAAGTTTTTAATTAAATCGACATGTATTTATTTTATTTTACCAATGTCACTTGTTTGATGTTGATAGTGTTGTGTACGAGAGAGAGCAATAGAATGAACAAAATCTTGTAAAATTATGCTTCTAATCATTAAATCATTATATGTTCCATGATCAATTATTTCACCTTGAGAAACAACAATAATATCATTACATTTATTTAAATGTGATAGACCATGTGTAACCAAAAGACGAGTCTATTTTAATAAAAATTATGTTTGATTTGAAATAATATTTATAGATTATTACTTTATCTTTTAATAATCCTTTAGGTCCAATGACATGTTTGAAAATATAAGCACCAACATGTGCATCGACAGCTGAAAGTGGATCATCAAGAAGAAATATATCAGCATTACTATATAATGCTCGAGCTAATGAAACACGTTGTCGTTGTCCACCAGATAAATTAATTCCCTATAATAAATAATCAATTTTGAGATTCAAATAGAAAACTTCTTTCTATGATATTATATACTTTTTCACCAATTTCAGTTTCATCATTTGCTGGAAGCATATCTAAAGAAATAAATTTCATATTGTTCTAATATAATATTCATTGAAAATTATTATCTGTTCTTCATCATACCAAGATCTTGTTTTAGAGCACATGCTTCAATTACACGATTATATAAATTCTTATCAAAATCTCTTCCAAAAAGAATATTTTCCTTCAATGTTGTATTCATAATCCATGCTATTTGTGGTACATAAGCAATAGTACCATTGATAATCACACGTCCATGAATTTTATTCATTTCACCAAGTAATGCTGCTAAAATGCTACTTTTACCTGAACCAACCATACCAACAAATGCAATAAGTGAACCTTGTTCAATTTCTATATTAATACTTAAAATGAAAATTTAAAAAAAAAAAATTATTTATTACATATAAAAGAAAAATGTTTATTTATTATTGACTTTTTTAAAATTAATAAGTCATTGGCAATATTTGACCAACGAAAAGAACCATTTTCAATTTTCACTGCATATTTATCTGAAAACTTTCTAGTAAATCATTTTATATTTCTAAAAATTACTTTTACTCACTAGACTCGACAGACATTCTATCAACAGCATTTTCATCAATTTCTTCATTACTCAAAAACTTCTCAATGCGTTTATTTGATACACGTGCCTAAAGACAAAAATAAAATCTAATAAATTCTGACACACAAAGAATCGTTTTATTTACTTCAACAACATTGTTAAAAACAGTAGGAAAAGCAACAAGTGGACTACGAAGTAGATTAAACAATGTCAATGATACAAATGCTTTGTCAGCTGTTAAAATATTCGTATCTGATGAAAGAACATAAGTTGCAAATGTTGTTATACCAACCTTAACAAATATATAAATATAATCATATGAAAAAAAAAAAAAAAACTTTAATATTTTTACTAGAATTGGTGTAAATGTCCAAAGTATATTGGATATAGCATTAACAATTGCTTTTTTTCGTATATATTCAAGTTCTTTTTCTCGAATATGAGTAATAGAACGTATAAATGCTATTTCCCATGCATATAATTTTAATACACGAATTCCATTTAATATTTCATTTGTCATTTTAATTCGTTGATCTTTAATTGTCATTTGTTTAAACTAATTCAATAAAAATAAAGAAATTTATTGAATATTATTTATACATACTGTAAGTTTTTTTTGAATTCTTTGTAAATATAAATTTAATGGAATCATAATAAATAATAATGTAACACCAGGAATTATTGAAAATTTCATTTGTCGATAAAGTAAAATTAATGCAATTACAAGTTGAAGAGGGCCTATCAAAATGATAAACATAATAGAAAAATTCATATCTCGAACAAAAATAAATAATGTTCTACCTGACCATAATACATGAATATGATGCGTTACTTCACCAAATCTTGAAGCATCAATAGCCATCTATTCGAAAAAAAAAATTAATAAACATGAAATAAAGAGAATATATATAAACAAACTAGATTAACAATTTCACCAGTTGTTGTTTCTTGTTTAGATGAATTTGATAATTTCAAACTCTAAAAATAAAAACACATATAATATAAAGTTTATCAGTGTAACTCACATATGTTCTTTAGCGTCATTCATTATCGATTCATAAAAAAATGCATGAGATTCGAAAAAAGTCATGCTTCTCTAACATCAAATTTAGTATAATGAGTTTGCACAGTTTTCTATATAAAACTCTTTTTTTTCTTCATAGAAATATTTTTATCAAAGACTAACTTCATATTTGGAATTACCATCAAATGATATAAAAAATATTGTACAAAAAAAAAAAAAACTTTCTCTCGTATATATGGAATGAGATCTCTCATTCTTCGAAAAGCATAATATGAGTTCTACAATAATGGATAAATAGAACATAGAATAACTAACCTTACGATATACAAGTCCAGTAATTGCTGAACGAAATCGAAGTCCAATAAGAAATTGACAATGAAAATAAGCTCGTAATAGTATAATTTGACAAAAAACGGTTATACTCAGAAGAATTGCATAAAAAATACCTAACCATTTTGGTTTGGTAGGATCCGTAAAGAAGTTAAGAAGCAGTCTTAAAAGAAATTAATCTTTTAAATTAAATAAATAAATACATTAAAAAAAAAAGAGAAAGTCAATGATATCTACTTTAAAATCATAGGACCACTAAATTGTAAAAGATCATGAACAATTTTGATGAAACCACCAATAAAAAGTTTATCTTTGTACGTGCAAAATAAAGCATACCAGAAACTAGATGTTTTCTTATATTTCGATGACGAATTTTTCATATCAACAATTGGCTTTAAATAGATTTTCTCATAAGATAATAAATGATCAAAATCTAATCACTTACGACATTAACCAAATTTTGATGTTCATCTTCTAATTGATTTGATTCCGAAAGTTTAATATTATTCAAAGATATTTTTTCGTATGAATTACATGATGTCCAACTATTCATGCTGGACAAAACTTAGAACGAAAATTAAAAAAAAAAAAATTATTTACCCTTTCATATAATTTCGTACTTGATGAACAACAGCTACAGTTCGTTCAGATATTGGCAAATTCCAACAATCTTTTTCTGTAAGTGGAGTTTTATATCCTCGAAGAATCAATGGTGTCGCCCATGAATAAAAAATACGAGATGGAAAACTTTCATGAAATTCAGGAACAATAGGCTATACATATATAGTTTTTCTTTTTGGGTAAGATATATTATTTGATAAAAAAAATAAATATTTAATCATACTCGTTCATCAAATATTGTTTTAGGAATAATATATTTTTCAGCAAAACAATTTGTAATAAATAAATTAAATGCAAAGAAGAATTGAAGCCAAACAACGATAAATTCTATCCACAAAGACATTGATTTGATCTATATAAATAATTATCATTTCATATAAAAATATTCATAGACATGTTTTTACTTGTTGATGAAATTTAACAGAATAATCAATTATATCAGGTACAATTGCCAAAGAAACTAATAACCAAAAGATAAATAGTAAGCCGGAAGAAAAAACACTTCTCAATCGATCATAATTCATTAGCCAAAGAATAAAACTTGTTGTTATTATATACAAAATTGAAGTCAATAAATACGCTAGACCTTTTTCTTCTTTCAATACAACGACATAATGAACAATACGAATAATTTGTATCAAAATAAATAGACAAACAAATATCTATAGTAATCATAATAAATAATATTCAACAAACATAGAATATATACCGAGTGTTCCAAAAGTTTTGCAACATTTTGTATTTTGCATTTATCTCGACTTAAGAAAATGATAAAATCTTGATTATTTTTTTAAAAGATGCGCCGTGAAAAGCTCTACAAAGTTCGTGTAAACAAATCCCTCTTGACTTGCTCTGTTGGTTCTTTCACACTCATAACGAACTACCTAAATAATAGAGCTATTTTTCAGCATAATAAAAATGTTTGCAAGACATCTTTGTTTTGCATATATCTCGGCTTGAGAAAATGATAACATCTTGATTTTTTTTTCAAAGATACGCTGTTAAAAGCTCTACACAATCTGTATGAACAAATCCCTATTGCAAAACGAAAAAGGTCTTTCAAACATTTTTCTAATGCTCAATACGGTGGGACATAGCTCCACCATGCAGGTTATTCGTATTAAGCATCGGAAAACCATCAGAACCAGTTAATAGAGATATCTTTATACAGTTTTTGTAGAATTTTTCACAGTGCATCTTTTAAGAAAAACATCAAGATTTTATCATTTTCTCAAGTCGAGATAAATGCAAAATACAAAATGTTGCAAAACTTTTGGAACACCCGGTATATATATATATATATCAGCATTTAGATCATCGATAAAAACTATTCGAGTTTTATTCTCAAAAATTTAACAATTTAAAAGTTATTTTTTTTGATCGATAATCTAAATAATTCGATGTATTTACCATTTTGATGATGAATAGCATAGAAATTACAAGTGCTTGTAATTTTATTCGTCGTTTGTTTAACATATAAAGCCACAATGGTAAAATTAACCAAAATATACCCATAGGTACCCATTGTAAAATTGTATTTCGAAAACATTCAGTTAAATATGGATATGGTGAATTAGTCACATTTTTATCCTAGACAATATATTGTATAAAAAAAAATAACGAAATAAATCATACAAACATACACACCCAAAATGGACTGATACACAAATAAACCATATCTAAAAGTGGAAAAATTAAATGATTATCTTCTTTTAAATAGATCTCGTAACAGAGTAATAAATCTATTCACTGTAGACGTTCATCATTGAAGTTGTGATACAAACTTAATATTTAGATTCGATACTTATCAATCAATAACAGAAATATAGAAAATAAAATTTTTCGTTCTTGTCCAATTGATCATTCTTCGATTGATTCAAATCATACTTAAACGTTTGTTTAAGCAGAATGCCATGATTTGAGATTCACAATAGTAATATACATATTTTATTTTGTTACCTGCAAATTGAATAGCCACAGGCAGAAAGAGGGAGTGTAAGTAATCAAATATTTTACATTGAAGGTTAATAGATGCTTATCTATAACACATACTTACATGTGGGTGTGAGTAATCAAGACTAAAAGTAGGTATACTTTATACTTTACGAACACATAAAGCATATGGAGATTACTCATATTGAGTAGTGTATTGCACCGATGTACACATGCTTAAATAACATAGCATCTGTTAATTGTTCTTTACCCTATTTTCAATTCAAATTACATTTTATCTCTAGGAGAAAAAGCAGAAATTATTCCAATTTTATTCAACTTTGATTCTTTATGAGGGCTATTTTTTTTCTGAATAATTTCTTTTAACTAACTATTAATTTCAATTAATAAAACAGAAATTAGTGCATACCTCCTCTAACTGCAAGAAAAAAAATGCAAAAACTTCAGAATAAAAAAAAAACTTTCTTTGAAAATTTGGCTTTTCGAAGGATTCTGCCAAATTTTGAAACTTAAATTTTTGTCATATCATCATTTAGAGATCTCGAGAAAGAATTTGTACCATTTGAAATTAATTTCCAACTTTCCATTCGGTTATAAGAGCATTATTTCGTTTGTACATTTGAAAGAGAGTTGGTAACATTCGGAATTGTCTACAGAATATATTAAAATACATAAAGTGAAGATCAATTTTCAGAGTAACTTAACATACATGTAACATGCATAAATTAGCTCTAGGAAAACTTATTATCTCGAGAGACAAGTGTTGTCATTTTAGGCAGTCACATCGCTAAAGAATGGTTTTGTTCATATACACTCATTTTCGAGCGGGGTATGAATGTGTGTGACATATGTATAACCGAATAAATCAGGTCGAGTGTGTGTAGCCGAAGAGGAAAACTGTGAATTCAGTAGTTCAAAGTACGAATGAAATAAAAGCATAAGGTGGGAAAGCAAAAATTTTGTGTTTCATTGCTAGATAGACTTATAAAAAATGAACTTAAAATAATATCGCCTTAGAAATTCTAGAGAATTACTTTAAAATATCATCAAAGTACTAATGTCACACTTTTTCTTCTCTTGGTATAAGTTCTTACTTAAGAGTTATTCAGAAACAACGATGTTTTTACTATATTGATTAACCCTTTGAGTCCGGGATTTTTTTTAAAAACTAAAAATATTTATAATTTCAAATCAATGTTTATTTTTGAAAATATGACCAAATACATAATTCAGAACACTTTCAGAGTATGATAATCTTTA